AGTTGCTCATAGGGTCGCTATGAGTTGGAACTGACTGGATGGCAACTGACAACAATTGGCATTAAATAAATAACTTTACGTACATTGTTACTGTGCAAAGTACTACTGCAAACACAAGACACAACCCAGGATTAAGAGCAGACGGGCATGAGTTTAAGCACAGTGAAACCAAACCCCAAACTCATAGATTGCCAGTGAGTCACTTCTACCTCAAAAGCAAGCAGGAATTAGTCAACTGAAAGCAAAGAAAGGAAAACAATGGTTAAGTGGTTGCCTGTTAACCCCAAAGGTCAGCAGTTCAAACCCACCAGTGGCGCTGTGGGATCAGACCTGCTTGTTCTATACACTCAAACACAGCCTAGGAATAACCCTATGTGGCATACGGTCATATAGGCTCACGTTTCCAATGATCCACACGACAGAAGTGCACGGTATCTAAGTAAAAGCTATGCAAAGTCCAATGTGGCTGAGAGAACAGAAGGGGGACAATGACAGTGATGAGGCTAATAAAGTAAGCAAACAGGAAAGCTGTAGCAAATGTCCTCGCCGCGTTTCTCAACACTTTTGATCACCACCTACAGGTTTTGACATAGGAAGTTTCATTTCTTCTTAGGAGGCGTGCTATACATGTGCTGAAGGAGAAATAAGTTATTAGAAATTTTCTTGTCTAAAATGTCTGGCTTAAACCTTTTGCTCAGTGGCTTTCTGCTCCTCCGCCAAGTCACAGCTGACTCAGGGGCACTCAGTGCTCTCTGCTCACAGGTCTCTCCTACTTGCCACTGTCTGTCCTCAGACAACTGAGGGCTTCTGAAGAGATGGGTTCAAATGTTTCTGACTTCGTTACTATATGATTTTGAGCAAGTTCCTTAGCTTACGTGTTTCTGTTATTCAGAAAGGAGTAAGAAAGGAGATGGGCAGAAGCTTGATTATATTAGCCTTCAAAATCTTTGTGGAAAAATTTTGTTTCCCAAGAACTTTTTTGAAGTCCTTGTAGACAATCTACCAGTTGCAGCATATGCTCAACAAACCCTAATGCCCTTGGATAAGGGCTCTAGAGCAGGGGTGTCGAACTGGTGGCCCGCGGGCTGCATGCAGCCCCGGAGATAAGTTTTTGTGGCCCAAGATGCTCTGAAATAAAATGGAAATGGAAAAAATTGTTATGAAAAAAATAGCGCTTCGGGGAGATGGAGGCAATAGTGTACACACAATTCCCTCATTAACCCTTGAACTACTGAAGACGAGTCTGCACGTGGCCCAGTGCCTTTCCTGGGGGCCTGTGGACGTGTGAACACGCTGACTCGGTTCCGGCGACGTTTGGAAGCGATACGTCTGCCACTCTCAGTGTCACGTCTGCCACTCTCTGTGTCACGTCATGTAAACATCCCAACAGCGAAAAGGTTAAAAAGAGCACTCTGGGTTGTGCTGTTATGACTCCGGCCTAGTGGCAGCGCTAGTTGACATTTTTAGAGGGAAGCCATTACGATGGTGCATCACGTTTGTCAGCTGTCCAACGTGTTGTGTTTTTTATTAGTTACTTTGTCATATTTTTCAGTCACAACATAAGCAGTAAGTGAAAACTAGTAGGAGCAAAGTGCTGGCAAGTTTCCGGTAAAAAAGACTAATTTTAGTTTTATGAATACATTAAATAAAATAAATGTTTAAATAAAAGCAATTATATTGTGTTTTAATTGCCCTATCCATATTCCTGAATCCTCACTTCAAAATATAAATTTAACAAAATTTGTAGATGTGACGTGGCCCGCGTGAATCTTGCCTGTTGGACCAAATGGCCTGCGTTTTAGTTGAGTTTGACGCCCCTGCTCTAGAACATATTTCCTTTCTAACCCAGAAGTTCACAATCCAGGTTGCATACTAAAATCACCTGAGAAACGTCAAAACAATGCCCATGCCCAGTCCCCACATAACTGGCCTGGGGTGGGGCCTGGTTTTTCCTTTTCAGCTCTCCAAGTGATCCTAATGTGGATTCAGTTTAAGAACTGCCAGTCTAATCCGAGAATGCCCACCTCCTCATCCCTCTGAAATCAAGGTCTGTGTTTGTCTAGTAATGTCAAACTCGGAAACACAGGATCTGTGAACAAAACAACTGCAGGACAGAACACAGGGTCACTGATGAGAGCTGGTGACACACTTGGCTGACTCCTTAAGATTCTATTGTTAATGTTAAATCCACCTGGTTATGTAACATTGGGGCTAAAGGTTTTACTTAACATGGCCCTTTCAATTTGTAAAACCCAGATGGTGGATTTTATAAAAATTCTTATTTTGTTAAAAATTTCAATAGCCATTTCCCCCCCATCTAGGAAGCCTATAGTTTACTTGTTCAAAGTGGTTTTAAAAAAAAAGAAAAGAAAGAAAAAAGCAGTTTGATTTGTTGTATTTTATGTAAATAACTATTACTTTGAGGTTCACTCACTGCCAAATGGGGGCTTGATGAGAAAATTAGTAAAGCAAAATCAGGCTCACACTTTGCAGACTTGAGTCTTTAAGTGTTGGTGGGCTTGTCTACTTAGGGTTACCATGAGTTGGTGTTGGCTCAGTGGAAACTAACAACAGTAACTGCATGTTTTAGATTTTATAACTTCATTTGATCAACTTCATACTGCACTTTAGCCACACGGTTACAGGATCACATTACCCAATGCTTGAACTCATTCCTCCAGATGTTACTGGGCTAATAGCAATCTATCAAATCTGCTGAAAGTCATTATCCTCTTCTTCGGACATGTTTTAGAAAGCTAAACTTATTAATAAGAAAAAACAGGTGAAAAGATATACAAGTATAGCCTTCTTGTACTATATAAAAACATACAGAATAATTTCACCATCTCTTTTGAGGGCAGGCAAGCTTTCTGGGTTTTTGGTTTTTCAAAGTACTGTCTGAAAACTTTTATCAATAATATCAGTTACCATAAAAAGAACACTCAGGACCCTTGCCCTTTCCAGGCCTGAGTCCTAGGTTTTCTGAACCTGTCATAGGACCCGGTAGCCTAGGAACTAGGAACTCTTTCTAACATCAAGAGAGTCTACTGGCAGCAGAAGATATATGTAGGCAAAAGACAGGACTTGGTCTTGCTTCTCTAATTATCTAGCTCAGTGGCTCTCAACCTGTGGGTCGTGACCCCTTTGGGTGTCAAACAACCCTCTCACGGGGGTTGCCCGATTCACCACAGTAGCAAAATTATAGTTATGAAGAGGCAACGGAAATCATGTTATGGTTGTGGGTGAGCAACTGTATTAAAGGGTTGCGGCATTAGGAAGGTTGAGAACCACTGATCTAGCTTGAAGAGAGGTGGTGGAAAGATGCCCAAAATGGAGAATAAGCTAGATTTCTTCCTAAAATTTGAGATCTGAAGATATCATGAATCAGAGGTAGTGGAATCAGAAGTAGGCATCTACTTAGTGGCAGGTTACAAGGTTGGCATGAACATTATCATTTACACTTCCTATCTAGTTCGCTCATAAGAAAATCCATTTTTCTCATTGTGTCAACAATATTCTTTGAGTAGAAAAGATTTGAATCTCCGTTTTTCAATTTAGTTAGCAGTGAAGCCTAATGTGCAGCAACAAATTAACTTAAAATGTTCACCTTGGATTGAACTCAAGAGAAATAGTACTAGTATTTGAGTCACTCTGAGCTCAGAAGCCTTCATAATGATATAGATAAGAAATACAAGACCAGCCAGATGAGAAGTCCTGAAGGAAAGCCCTAGTCTGACAATTAAGGCTGTAAGTAAGGAACAAAGGAATCATAATTATTACCTACTTGTTCGAAGGGCTTTTGAACGAAGATTCTGATAATTCTGGTCCCGAGTCTTCCCCTTAAGTATAAATGCTTTCAATTCAGCAAATAACTACCACTACCGTATTTTTTTATCTTCAAAGTTTCTACTTTGAAACTTTTGGTAATGAACAGCAGGTTCTATTTTGAACAGCCTCAGTATTAATATCTAACTAGAATTCCAACTTTTTATCATTTTGAAAATTAATATTCATAGACAAAGCTGTAAGTTTGTCTTTTAAGAAGCTCCCAGTAATATCTTAGCCCAACATTAACCCACCCATATTAAATGACTTCACCATTTTTAATATAGGCTATGAGTAATATTATCTGATTATAAATGACTTAGCCAATAAATTGCATTATGGTGCTGGAGAGGAATATTGAAAGTACCACGGAATGGTAAAAGGGCTAACGATCTGGAGAAAGTACGACCAGAGGGCACCTTAGAGGCAAGGACAGCAAGACTTCAACTTACGTACTTTAGACATGTTGTCGAGAAAGACCAGTCTCTGGAGGACGTCGTGTTTGGTAAAGTGGAAGGGCAGCAACAAAGAGGAAGGGACGGAATGACAAAGAGGCAATGAACAACTGTGAGGGTGGTACAGGACCAAGCAGTGTTCCCTTCTGTTGGGAGCAGGTTGCTATGGTCCAGAGCCAACTTGATGGCACAGCCAACAGAGAACTGTGGACACAGACTCGTGAAGAACAAGAGGAAGCACAAAGAAAGCCTGATAAAAAGCCCGGGTCCCTCATTTACAGCCACGTAGTGATGCATTCTTCAAAGAATTTCCAGTTTTTAAATAACCCAATCTGTTTCCCTAATCTTCCTAGGGGCTGGAAACAGGTTAGGAGCAGGAGATAGGGGGAAAAAAGAGGAGTTTTTAAACTATCATCATAAAAGTTTGGGAAAAACATAAAACTCCGATCACCAGAAAACATTCTTTCCTTAAAGCGTTTTCAAAATAAATGTGAGAGCAATCTTCCGAAGAACACAGTAACCGGAGAGAAGCTGCAATCTTTAGGAAGAAGTATGATCGGGATAACCCCTGACGGCTTTGTGATCAGCCCAGGGGAAAGAGCATGTTTGTAGCTTCCTGACAAAAGAAAATACTGAGTTTCAGATTTTATCCAAAAGTATGACAGAGAGACAATTGCAAAGCATGACAGACAGAAATAAAGAAAAACAAAGGTCCAAATCTAAAATAGGTGATCAATGTTTAATATTCTGAGGATTATTTAACAAAATCAAAAAAAGATGTTTTCATATGACTGGATTCATTTATTCCAAATTCTCCTAAGAGTTAAAAATGAACTGTCATACTTAGTGATTTAGAACCACCAGATTGTACTTCTGGAAAGTTATCATTTTAATGTTAACACACACAAAATTACATCCTAGCATTTTGTTTTTTAAAAATTTCTGCAGCCAAAGATTCCTATTTTTGAATTACAGTACTGCAAGGCACATACAGAACTCACCTCCTTCAAAACACACAAAAGATACTCCCTGAAATAGAATTTTAAAATTCTGAAACAATTAGAAATACTACAAAGTTAGCAATTTTCAGGTAAAAATGTTGCTTCTACATGACCATGCACCTTTCTTAAAATCAATTCAGCACATAAGTATAAATAATCTTTTTTCTTTGACAGTTGTACTTCAGATGCAGATACAGTGATACTGAAGACATCGCTAAACAAAAACCTGAAAAATACGAGATAGCTTGATAAGTGTTATGTCATTGCCTGCATTGGAAACTCTGTCACCTCTACTATTTTCAAGGACTCGAATTTAATAATGGGGTAGACTACACGGGAAATAACGGGTTTCCATTCTTTTTAAAAGAGGACATTTCCTTCCCCTCTAACATGGATTCTTTTATAAAGGATGCTACATGAATTATATTTTTTCATTCAGTAAAACTGAAGATAGGATCATTTAAATGCCTATACCAAATTTAATGCAGCGTAATTAGGGATCAGGTACATATTTTCCTATGAAAATTTTTGGTCAAGCATATCTAACCATAAAAGCAAATGGAATTTTAAGAGGTAGATTTTTTTGTTTTTCCCATGATGCATTTTGTTAATAAATGTATTGTGAAGAAAACAGAAACAACACTGAGTGTGTTTTCTTAAAGTATAAGGGTCTAATGGAAAGAAAAATAAAAAATTTGTTACAGTCTGACATTTTAACAGTCGTAGTATTGGTTGTTTTGTGATCGGTGCATTTTCAATTCTCTCAGGATCAGAATACGAGTCTGCCAACCGTATTAAATCCACCTCCACCCCCTCCACCAGTTGGTCCACAGCTTCCGGGAGGGTCATTGTCATCAAATCCATTGGGCCGAAATGAACAGGAGGCAGATGCAGCTTGTAGAGCCCGGGCTCGAGCATTCAATTCTTGCTCCTAAAATAAAAATAATTCTTATAAAATTAAAATGTTAAATACAATTGGGTAAGAATTACACTTACCTCTTTACAGGGCTTAAATTTTTCCCCCAGTCAGATGATGAGAACTTTTATTAGGAACCAGTTATATTCTTCTGTGTGCCTAGAACATATCAAAACTGAACCCACTGCCTTCCTATTGTTGGTTCCCATTCATAGTGCCCCTATGGAATTTTTGAAATAGCAAATCTTTACAATAGCAACAAGCCTTATTTTTCTTCTATGGAACAGCTGCTGGGTTTAAATTGCTGACCTTGTAGCTAGGAGCCCATTGTGTAACCCACAGCAGCATCAAGGATCCTTTGGAATACGTCATTAATGATCTCAGATTAGAAGGCTAATAAATCAAAAAAGGGCTAGGTGCTGTCAAGTGATTATAACTCATGGCTACTCTGTGCACATGGAGTTATCAAAGGCGGTGACCTGGTACCCACTGGATAGATCTGAATTGCCAATCTTTTGGTGCAGCCAAATGCGTGATTGCTTGCATCACCCAGGGGAGTGAGAGTACTAGGGAGGAGAAATGTGAATAAAAGTCAAATTCATTTAGCAAGATATAAAACTGAATTCTAAAACTCTGGGCCTACAAATTCCTTACTCTCTTTGCCATTGAGTGGATTGTGACCCAGGGTGACCCTAGAAGACCAGGGGAAACTGTCCTTGTGGGCTTCCGAGACTAACGTTTTATGTGAGCAGCTGGTGGTTGGCAACTACTGACCTTGCGGTGCGCAGCCCCCCTCACTGCCATTGTGCCACCTGTGCATGTATGTTTACACTCGAGAGTATGCCAAAGACTCTGGCATATGCCTTTTTAAAAAAAATAAATAATCTTTAACTTAAAAAAAAAGTAAGCATCTATAACTTTCAAGAGCAACAACTCTAAAAGATCTAAAAGCCACTGGTAATAATAATATAACTATTAACTTGTTAGGCATAATTATCTTGCATAATGAAAACAGTACAGTGCCTAACTTTTCAACTAAAAGCTCAGATATTTTATTCTATCTGAGAAGCACATCATAGTATAAAGTGTCTAGTTAGATTTTTAATCAGCCTTCCTTTACAAAGCATTCATTGTTTGTTTGTTTGTTAGGGGGGACTGGAAGGGCACTCTAGCTTACCCTGACCTCTCTCCCTATATTATGGATTCCTTATTTCTCAGGAGCATATACAAAATAATAATCATATGCTTTTATGGCTGAAAGGGACCCTCACATAATAAATCTCATGCAAAATGGCCTACTTAAACAGTATAAACCATTTCCAAATTTTACTCTATGGTTTTTATTTATGAATTACTTTTTCATTACTTTGGTTTTATTATAACTCCCAGGTACTCCAAAGAACAAAACTATGGTTAAATATCCTACTTTTTAGAGTCCTTTATCTAATCCACCTGAATGCCAATAAATAACTCTTCCACCCACCTGCTACATGGGAGATGTGGCTGTCTGCTTCCGTAACCTAACAGCGTTGGAAACTGTGGGGGCAGTTCTACTTTGTCCTACTGGGTCACTATGAGTCAAAAGAAGGGACTTGATGGCAGTGAATGTTTTCACGTTGCATTTACATTAGAAAGTTAGATAATTCAATATTGTTTAAGTGCAGCTCATGTCATATAAAGTCAGACTCAAATTTCAGAATTACTAGTCTCTAAATTCCTAGAAACGTAGATGCTGATTCAAAATTAGAGCACTTATTTAACCACTTGTCAATTGTTTAAATCTTTTCTATGAAAGAGGAAATACATATGCTTAACTTACCTGTAGATATAGTTTATTATCTTTTGTGATAGCATCCATAAGTTCTTTCTGTAGAGGCGGGTCTCCATTTACCCAGAGTCCACTGGATGTATTACTACCACTTAACCCATTAGAGCTGTCCTGTTTTTTATACAAAAGCACATAAGCTGTGTCCTTTGGGAACCTACTTGTAATTTTCTGGACAGACTGAAATGAGGTAAATGTCACTCTGCTATCATTAAATAAAAACCATTCTTTTGACATTTCCTTATTTTTCAGATCTTGTTCAATAAGTGTAGTGGGAACATCTTTCCCCAATAAATGCCCCTGGGAGGATGCCAACGCCAGCGTTTCGGGGTGGTGGTGGTGCATTTGGTATGAAGACTCCGTACCTGTGATGTTTCTTGCATAAGAATAATAATGCCCACTTTCAGAGGAGATCCCAGAATGAACCACCACAGAATTTAGTACATAGGACACTGACTTTGGAAAGCAAGCTTCTTCAGTCCCAGAAGGCTTTAACTTTTTAGCTAGGTTCTCACTAACATCAGTGAAGTCAACATCTATAGACCAACTTTCTGACAATGCAGAAAGAGAAGCAGTTCTTTTAACTGGCAACTCCAAAAGCAGCGGTAGTGAGACATTGTCTAGAATTTTTCTTCTCACATGATACTTCTGATCATATGAAAACCTCAGGAGAGTAAGAATAAGATACTCGGGCTCCTCGGTGATTTGCATAGCTTTCTCAGCATTCTGTAGAGAGGCACAGTTTTCACAATAATACTGGTTGTCACCAGTAAGAACCTCTGGAGCTAAAAAATAATTTAGTAAGTCAGTCACTGAAGGTGTGGTTCCCCCTGGCCTTGGAGATTCCCCTTTATTAACAAAAATCTTGATGGGCTCATTAGGGATAGAAGCGTTTTCAGTACAGGGAAGCTCATCAGGAAGACTGCCCATAACTCCTTCATTCACAACTGGGTCACAGACAATGGCTGCTATGGCTGGATTATAGACTAATGATTCTTCTGACGGATCAGACACACTGGTTTGCATTAGGCCATCGTCTTGTGCTCTAGGTGGTGATGTTGGGTATTGAAAAGGCAGGTTTTCCATAGAAGAGGAAGGACAAAAGGCAAGTGAAAGATCTGTGAAGGCTTCCACTTTGTGTGAGGTACTCTTGCAATTCAAGCAACATATGTGAGTTCGCAGTTTTCCTCCAAACATCTTTTCTATTAGAGTCTTTTCACCATCACTCGTACAAGAGGTCTCTGTCAGTAGAGCTGCCTTACTAGCTACTTCTTGTAAGCAAGTTTCACTATACCCCAGACTTTCAGAAAGCTTCTGTGAGGACTGGACTTTCAAGATCTTCTCTTCTTCATGGAGCCTGCAGACGTAATATATCATTATACAACTATTTCATTTATGTTTAAATCTCATTTCTATTTAAAAATACTGGTGGCTTATGTAAACAGTCAAATTTTTGTTTTCATCAAACATAATACTAAATGAAAAAACCAAAATTTCCTCTTTTTCAATCTAAAGCAGTTTCCCAAAGTGGGTGATACTGCCACCTGGGTAGTGCTGGAAAAATCCAGGTGAGCTACGAAGGCACCCACTGACACTCCATCCTGGGTTATAGGCTAGCAGAGCAGCTTAAGCTGTCATTCGGACTCCATATGGAGTCAGGTAACTGGGGAGGTGAATGCTGTCGGCAACAGAAGCAAGTTTCTGAGTGTGCAATGACCAAGAAGAACTCAAACATAATGGATGTGTGCTGCTTCTGGTAGTGCTTGCTGGTGTTCCATTGCTTGACTACACGGCAGCCTTGGTTTGGAGCATACACTATGCATTTGTAGTCACTACGTAACACGTACCGCTAATCAGGACTTCTGTCTCAATCTCTAAGCTTTCTATCCCATTAATAATTTTCATGTCCACCTGTATTTCTCGTTACTTGTTGCTACCAAGTCAATTCTTAAACTTTCTCCACTCGTGACCCTTTTGTGCCCAAGAAATTGTCAGTGACCCTAGGTATATAGGTAGATACACGAAGTATGCAAATCAAACACGTCTTGTAATGATGTTAATGATTTTGATAGTATGGTGAAACACAATATTTAATTCTGGTGATATTTTTTTTTCTCGGCTACAAGTGCACATTGTATGTTCAGGACTAAGGATGCCGTGAAGCCGTGGGACGTAGCATGGGCAAGTGCAGCGAGAAACACCTTACTCATTATGAGCTGGATTCTGAATTACTTTTTGGTCATTGTACATTCAGAAACCTTTTAGTGTCCCCCAGTGTTCTTTGACCTCCACACAAACCAGCTCAAGGAGCTCTGGATTCAGCAGGAAGTTTTAATTGCAGGGAGGCACTGAGTAATCCACCCCCCACCCCCCCCTGAAAAGGGGGCAGTAGTAAGCCAAATAAGTTGGGGAATCTATGAAGAGGAAAAGTGAATAATTCAAGACTGTAGATTAGAAAAGAAGTTTGAAAGCCACTCTAGTTGTGTGCTCTCATTATTTGCTCTTCATGCAGCTACTTGATAGCACTTATAAGTAGGAGATACGTTTATAATCCGCTTTACTCATCTTTGGCTACCTGGCATCTCACAGACAGCCTGGAACAAAGGCACTCAATGCAGCCGTACCTGAGTGAAAGGACAGCGCGGCAGGATTGAGTGCAGCGAATGTTACAATCACTCATCTATCAGAAGGAAGCAATGATGGAGATAAATAATAGGTTTTATTAATGAAGGCTAAGGTGACACCCTAGAGCCCAGGCGGAGGTAGTGTTAGACTGCGAGCCACAAGGTTAGTGGTTCAATCTACAGCCACTCCGCAGCGGAAAGATGAATCGATCTGCTCTGTACAGCTTTCAAGCCTGGGAAACAGCACCCGGGCCACTGAGTGGGAGTCGACCTGATGGCAGCAGGTTTCGAAGGAGCTGGCAAAATGTACGGCACATGTCTGCTTCCTGACTGGCCAACAGCAGCAGCGTTTGTTCTTGTTCTTCGATGTATCACTTTATACCTTGAAAACTAACATTAAAGAACCCAAGAGCTTCTGTCTACATGGGTTATATGTATTAAGATTTATGATATTTGAAAACGAAACATTTTAAAGTATGTATGAATATATTTTCAAACAATAAACCCATTATATGTTAGTAAAAACAGGTGCAAGATATGAAACAAATTCAGCAAGAAAAGTAACACTGTTTTGGCAGATATTTTTAAATATCTGGCTTAACTGAAGACAACTGGATCTCCCTATGTCTGCATTCAATTTATTAAGATATCTTTTTTAGATGAGTTATGTAGTAGGAAAAGGAAGACCTCACAGATTTTCTGAAAGCATTCAGAAAACCCCAAGGTTCTTGCATCACATTTTTTACAATAGCTGGTATAAAGTAAGAAAATTTAAACAAAATCAAGTTGAAACAAAAATAAACTTTAAAAATAGCAGAAGTACAAGGTATTTTATAGATTAACACTGAAATATTTTTAAAGGAAAATATTTTTAAAGGAATATTATTTTAAATTTAGGTGCTTTTGTAAAAAGGCACAAAATTGTACTTTTGAAAACCCTTCTGACCTGTCTAGTAGGAACCTGAGGTATTCCGAACAGTCTTGCTGTGATCGAGCAGTAAACCATGGAGGTCTGGAAGCCTCAAAGAATATCCGAGGTGCATACGCTTCCCTCTTTGATAACAGGAGAGAAAATAAGAGAAACTGATTCTAATGCCATGCACTTAATAAAAGAAATCTTAATATATACAATGTTTAAAAAAGATTACTTAAAATTACAATTTTCCCCCACACATATGAACATAGAGGTACTCAGGCACTTAGATGCAGTTCAAATGATCAGTAGTATTATTTTCCCCTCTTATTGCAGTTCAAATTATTGAAATAAATTTAGGCAATTGTTAGTTATCATTTTTAACACTGCAGATGAGAATTGAGAAGTAAAGCAGCTATATGACAGGCTGAAGGCCACACAAATAACTTAGTAGCCAAGAGAACCGTAAGAGCACTCACGAGTTCTGTGGGCAGAGTGCACGAGGCACTGGGCTGTGAACTGAAAGGTTGGTGGTTCTTCAAACCTACTAATCTTACTCGGTGACAAGTGCCATAAATATTTACAGTCTTAGACACCTAAGGATCAGTTTTGCTCTGTCCGAGAGGGTCACTGTGGGAAAGAACTGATTTGATGGCAGGTTTAAAAAAAAATTTTTTTTTACATTAATCTTTCTCTTAATGTAGTACTTTTAGCACTGACAACCATGTGTTTGGGTACTAAATATTTTGGGAAAACCAAATACAAAAAAAGATATGTAAAGGATTATATACTGGAACTAGTAATACGGGGAATATTCTTCTAGAGCCACATATCTGTGTTTGAAAGCTCCATTCTGTGGCCTTTAACCTAGGTTCTGTCAAGACGCCGCTTTGGAGCTTTCTCCCCGAGTCCTGAGGAGCTATATTTGCCCTAGTTTTCTACCCCAAAGCCTTGGTTATTTTTGTCTAAGATGACTGATAATTCACGGGCAAGCTGTGTACGACTTTGTTTTTGTTTGCCTAGCCCAGAGCTGAAGCTTGCCCTGTGACTGGTATGTGCCTTGCAGCCTGTGGAAACGAGGTGCAGACAGCCTCCTACATAAATGAAGTGTCTGTGGCCTACTGGGAGTGGGGTGGGTGGGATGGTCAGTTCAGGCCTTGAAATTAGAAAGGAGTTTGTATATTTAAGAAGCCAACCCCAGAAAGGTTTTTTAGAGACAGAAAGAAGTAGGAAGGAAGACGAAAGAAGCAGTAGAAAAACGAGAAGGCATGGAACCTCGTAAAAGTGCCTGGCACATACACAGAGGAAGTTCTGGCCCAAGGGGCCCAGGGGCAGAGCTGGGGGTGACAGCCCAGCTGTCCACAAAGAACTGAGAAACCTGCCCTGCACTGAAAAAGGGGGCTTTCTGTCTACACGCTTCCTGATTCTCATTCCAACTTAGAGCCTAGTGACCCTAATGCTGAGTTGTGGTATGTTCCAAGCCAACCACTTTAAATGCATCCAAGCACATGTGTGAGCTCTGTGTGGCTACTGTACTGGATCCCCGAATGCGGAAAAGAGATGGAGTGTGCTCAGGAGAGGTGGCTGGCGTCATAAATGGCAAGAAGGGTTGCGAGTGGAGGCACGTCTGACCTTAATCTCACAGGGTTCAGCCTCAGGCTGATCTCGAGTCTGAGTTAGACAGGTGCTGCTGCCGCCACCACCACTCTTTTTACATGTTAGGTAATGCTCTCTGTGACAAGGCACACACGTGCCACAAATGTTCAAAATGCAAGCATCCCTTGCTGTTTAAAAAAAAATGAGGAGAGGCGGCAGAATTTAGCAGTCTCAGGTTAAATCCTAGATGGCACCATAACAAAATATACTGAAAAGGCATCTGAAAAGATGATATAACTTGGAAATTTAGAATTCTGATATTTTTCAACAGTGTGACATAACAATACTCAGGTTAAGATAAATTTCACCCATATGAAGGGTCATTTGTAGAATTTTAGGGCATTTGACATACTGGTTGAGCAGTCATTCAGATTCGTATCTTAATCCTGCTAATTGTCTATGAAATAATATAACCTCAGTTTATTCATCTGTAAAATGGGGTTGCTTATTAATTGTAGATTGGCTGCTAGAGTCAAAAGAAAATACATACACGTAGGTTTTCACTGCTTTTTAAGCGCTTGCTTTATGCCACCTTGCTTTACAAAAGGCCCGCATTCGTCTTTGCAGCCAAGGAAACCTGAGGGCCCTAGTGGCGTCGTGGTTCTGTGTTGGCTATGATCAGCACGAAACCCGTAGAGGGTTTCCACTTTTGTGAGGGGGAAAAAAAAAAAAGCAAAACTAGCACCCAGTGTTGGTTTCGCAGTCAACAATGAAAGAGGCAGCGCACACCTGGAGCAGGGAGAGTGACACTGCTAGGCTCCTTCCCTGGGAACTACACTGGGTATCTTAGCATCAAACCGCTGAACTGTGCCTGTGAGTCAACATGTGGGTGCTACTTAGGTCTTCTGAGTAGGGATTGGTTGGTCATTTTGGGGGGCTGGGAATGCTCAGTTTTTTCCTTATCAGTGAAAAGGCTCACACCCATCAGTCACTGTGAGTGAGAGATGAGACTACCAGCCTCAGAAAACCGACGGAGCAGTTGTACTCTGCCCTCTAGGGTTCTCATGATCAGAATCAACTCGATGGCAGTGGATTTTAAACGATTCAATAGATTGAGAAATAGGTATCTTTGTGCAGAAGCTTATGTACTGTACAGAAACTCATTTTTGTCTGCAATGACTAGAATAATGGGACAGCATAATGTATATTCATCTGTAAGAAAGGGCAGAGAGAAAAAACAAAAAAACAGATCATAGCTTGATAACTGAAGTCTCTCTTTTGCATCGGTAGGTTGCTTTAACATCAGTATAAAGGTTCACCAACTTTGGCATAAGTGTTAAAGAGTATTATTTATCTACTGTTTAAAGTGCACACAACACACACACTCGTGCACTCACCTGTGTATGAGCCAGAAAGGCAAAAAGATGCTGTAGTTTTTTCATTAATGAATTGCACCCATTTAGATTCAAAGATAACACTTGCCTCCTGAACCTGAAAGATCATAAAATATAATGATTTATGTATTCAAGTACACAATTTTTTAAAACCGAGAAATAAAGGTTAAAAAGAAGTTAGTTCACGAGTTTATCCTCAATGTAAAACACCACTTACCTGACAGCACTTTATTTAGACAAGTTATCTATTTCAAATGAAGAAAGAGGAGAATGACAATAAATGCATGCTTACAGTACTGGTCTGTGTATTGTATTCCTGTTTTTCTGGGCTAACATGCATATATGATCAGATGGTGATCAAATAAACCCAATAAAATGTATACTCTTTCCCCCTCTTAATCCCTCTGCTGTTATAACTAAGAAAGATGTCCATGGATGGAAATATGCACTCTACTGAGAGTATAGTAAAATAAGCAACATGCTCTATAAAATATGATGCTGATTCTACTATGTTGCAAATATTGAATTATCAACTGTTATCCACTCATGCTTTAAGAAGGCAGAGATTAATATATACTAGAAAAATTCCATAAACAATGAAGATGTTTAAGCTATAATCCAATTAACGTCTAATTTGCACATCAAGTATAAATGCTGTCCTGCTATGTAAATATGTACCCATAGGAATAGATCATTTATACATTGTAATGAGAAACAGTTTATACTTTTTCAAAATAATTTGTGTGTGGATTTGAAAAGGCATTATATTGCCTTGGATGTCAAGCACAGAACACTTGCCCTAGAGCAGTGGTTCTCAACCTGTGGGTTACAACCCTTTTGGGAGTCGATTGACCCTTTCACAGGGGTCACCCGATTCATAACAGTAGCAAAATTACAGTTATGAAGTAGCAATGAAAATAATTTTATGGTTGGGGGGGCCACCACAACATGAAGAACTGTATTAAAGGTCATGGCATTAGGAAGGTTGAGAACCACTGCCCTAGAACAATCAGCTCTTACTTATTGCTCCCCTAGGAGAAACTGGTGAAACGAAAAGGAAATGAGTCTTAGAAAACAAGGGTCGAATATTTCATAGGTCTTGCCTTTTACTCAATTTTACTGCTCCATTTATAGCCAGAGAACCAACCAACCGAACAAACAAAAAAACCCACCCCACTCCCATTGAGTCAATTCTGACTCCTATAGGGTTGTTGGAACTGTAAATCTTTATGGTAGCTGCCAGACTCATCTTTCTCAGGCCAAGCAGCTGATGTGTTTGAACTGCTGACCTTGCAATTTATAGCTCCAAATTCAGCTCACCCATCATGTGTGTACCCAATGTTTTCCAAAGTAGAATTTTCCAAAATATGCCCAACAGTGACATATTTTCAGTGGTATGAATATCATTATCAGAAAGTGTGTGTGATGATTTTCTTGCTGTTACTACACATTTGTAACAAAAATGCTCATTCTTAACTCAATGGAGGCTTTAGATGTCAGTGTCTTTCAGTTAAACAATCTCCTTCTCTCTTTATGAGTACTTCTGGTTCACAGAGTAAGAAAAAAGTAACTCAGTCAAACCTACTACCATGCAATGGATTCTGACAGTGACCCATAAAGCAGGGCTGGGGAACATCCAGCCTGTGAGCCATAGAAGGCCTTTGACATCATTAATACCAGCTAACATCACAGATCTCACCAGAAAGCAGCAGTGCTAGCTATCACAATAGGTGTGAGTTAATGAAATGTTTGACCAGTATGGCCTGTGAATGACATTATAAATACCCAAATTGCCCCTGATGGAAAATCAGGGACCACTCACTGTGAGACCTGAGTCTACATGCAGCAGTACATTCATGAGCACATACTTCCTTCATTAACCTGACTTATCAAAGTGATAAAGAGATAGCTGAATGAAGTGCTAGCAGTAATTACCAAGCAACTCTTCAACTGCTTTCATATTTGCATGGAAGATAAAATATGCTACCATCAAAACATACTACAAAGTTCAAATGAATTGAAAAGAGAAAAACGAATCCATAAAATACAGTTAGAGCACTAGGTATCCATTTGGATCAAATGGAAGTAGATACTACTTTACATCTCAAAAATGCCACATAGCAGTGAAGAGCTAAATATAAAATAACTGAGGTATTCCAAAGAAAAAAGAATCTGAACAAAGCATCTACAAAACTGAAAGAAAATATCCAACAACAAATTATCTCCTAAAAAAAAGTGACCCCATAGGGTAGGGTAGAACTACCCCTGTGGGCTTCAGAGACTAACTTTTTATGGGAATAGAAAGCAAGCCATGTTTTTCTCCTGTTATTATCCTCTAAGTATATATAAATCAACATTAAAAAGAAAAAGGCCCAAGAGAGTCACCCAGGAAAGAAGCGATGATTCGGGGGAGAATGCTCCGTAGTAGCCAACAATAAGCAAATTTACAGAACATTTTAAGCCAGTTAAGACAAATAGTTGTCCCCTCCCATCTCCATTAGAACAAAATTTAAGATGGCTTTTATCAAGTGCTACTAAAGGTATGGGGCGGCTATAGGTACTACCATACATTAGTGAGTTCATGGTGCTATACCCTTCTGGAGAGAAATCTGACATACCCTATTCAAAGAATGAAGGTGCCCTGGTCAAAATTATCAAAAGGTCAACAGTTCAAAGCCATCCAGCAGCAACTCTGTGAAAGAAAGACCTGTCGATCTGCTTCCATAAAAATTAATTAGCCTAGAAACCCTGATCGGCAGTGTGCAATAGGGTCGCTTGGAGTCAGAGTCAACTCGGTGGTACACAACAGCATTCAAACAAGGTTCCATATCTGCACATGTGCAAATACGTTAATTATGGCACATGCATCTACTCAGAATGATGTAGTTTTGTATTGCTCTATAATGTTGAAATATTTTCAACACAAATTAATAGATGATAAAATCAAGTAGGGGGAGAAGAGTATGTAAATCCTCTACAAGTATTTAAGAAAACTAATGGAGTTGTTTTCTGAACTACATATAAGTGTACATCTGCAGGGGGAAAAAGGTCAGGAAGCAAGTACATAAACTATTAATAAGTTACCTGTCAGAAAGGGAGCTTTCAATTTGTACTCTATACACTTCCAGACTTAATTTTTTTAAAACCACGAAGAATGAATACATTGCATCATAGGTAATAAAATATGCTAAGGTATGGCATTATCTAATTAACATATGTGTTGCCATAATTTCCATAAAATATTTCTACATAGAAATGTTATTCTTAAAACATTTATTTTGAAAGAACTAGAAAGTGGTAGAAATGTTACCTTGTAATACACAACAAATTAAATATAGACATACTGCATCTACTTAGTATTGGACTCGCTGGGTGGTGCAAATGGTCATGTGATCAACTGCTTGGTTGGAAGCTCAAGTCCACCCAGAAGCACCTGGGAAGAAAGGCCTGGTGATCTATTTCTGAAGATCCTATGGCGCACAGTTCTAACAGTTCTACTTTGATACAACATGCGTTAGAATCAATTTGGATGGCTGCAGGGTGAGGGTTAGGGGGAGGTAGTAAAATATCTACAAGTAACAAAACTAAAAACATTAACACCACAAAAAGATTTATAAGTTACATATTTATTAAATAAACATATCTAATTGGATAATAATTTAAGCTTCTACGGAATAACTTCAAGTTTTGTAACAGTCTGAACAACCTTCTTCCATTGCTAAGAAAGATCAGGTGTGAGTAATTAAAAAGACAGTGGCAGTCTATATGTATTGAACAACAGAAATAATAAAATAATAAGGTAGAATTTAGAAAAATTAACCTTTTAATAGTTTCTGAGCACTGAAAGCAGTTTGTTTCCTGAAGTTGTCAATTTATGGAAATATGAACTTTTATTATTTAGAAGGAAAAATGTACAAAAGATTCACCGTCTTACATCTAATTAGCACTTATCAATTTCTATATTTACAACAAAAAGATTTAAGTTTAAACTTACTCTGTGGCCATAAACAATGCTTGTATAACACTGTTCATGTAACATGTATTTCCTAGGTTAATCAGACCAGTTTTCCCAGTTTCAGATTTTCCAGAAAGTCTAGACAAACAAGATGCCAAAGAATTGGATTGAGAAGTCCAGGCACTTTGACTGAGAATCAACTTAATCTTCTCTTCACTGGGCTTAGGAAAATCCTATGGAGAATAGAGAAAAAACAGATTTAGAAGTAGAAATATTTTTGTTTAAATCAAGATCATAAGGAAGATTTTTCCACTAACATTTAAGCTTTCTCACTTAGTTTTCAAATTATTGACAGGCCTTGGCCAGTAATCAAAAATCAAATTATACTACAGGGCAAAATTAAATGTCTCCTAAAAAGTCTCTTCAGTTGAAAAATACTTCTTAAGAACCAGAAATTCAGGGAAAGATATGACAAAATAATAATTTATAAATTATCAAGGGCTCAGGAGGAGGAGGGAGTGGGGAGGGATGGGAAAAAATGAGGACTTGATGCCAGGGGCTTAAGTGGAGAGCAAATGTTTTGAGAATGACGAGGGCAATGAATGTACAAATGTGCTTTACACAATTGATGTATGTGTGGATTGTGATAAGAGTCGTATGAGCCCCTAATAAAACGATTAAAAAAAAAAAAGACTTACAGTCTCAAAAACCCACAAGAGCAGTTATACCCAAGCCTGTTGGGTCGCTATGAGTTGGAATCGATTTGATGGCAGCAAATTTGTGCTTTGTTGGTTTGTTTTTGTACATAGAATCAAGTTGCTCAAATAAAAGTAGGTATTAAATGAAAAAAAAAAAAGAACCAGAAATTTAAATCACATTTTATTTATCTTACATTCCCTGTCAGCAGGAAAGTTTATAAAACTTTTGAGATATGGGAGCATATCAAGTGCGATTTTAAGACAGCAGAATGATGATTCAAGGTACCACACCATCAACTAAGCACAATAATTTGCTTCAAAACTTGATCAGAATAAGATGTTTACTTTTCATTTGCTACTAATGTTTTGTGAGTATTACCCTCACAATTGCAAGGCCCACGGTGATTAGAAGATCAAAAATGAAAGCATCTGAACGCAATGACTTCTGATTTTAGAAATAAAATCGGTCTTGTGTTAATCATACAGAAAATGACAAGACACTGAACTCCAAAATGGTAATCATCGAACAGCAGCAATAACCGTCATCTAAAGACACAGTGACAATTAATGCATCTCCCTCCAAAGCCCTGGCTACAGAGATTCACTTCTGGATTGTGAAGAACGTCACACTGGTGGTGACAGTAATTACTGAACAGTCCACAGTAAAATAGAATAAAAACTAAATTTTCTGAAATCCCTGGTGGTGTAGTGGTTATATGTTGGGCTGCAATCTGCATGTTCAGCAGTTCAAAACCACCAGCAGCTCTGTGGGAAAAGATTGGGCTTTCTACTCTTGTAAACAATCTCAAAACTCACAGGGGTCGTTATGAGTCAGCAATGACTCGATGGCAGTGAGGTTGGTTTGGAAGGTGTAGTTGAGAAGTTCTGGTGCCATAGTGGTTATGCTTTGGGCTGCTAATAGGAAGGTCTGAAGTTCAAATCCAACAGCTGCCCCTTGGGAGAAAAGACCAGACTTTTTATTCCAGTACAGGGTCAACAGTCTTGGCAACTCGCAGGGGCAATTCTACCCTGTCCTACAGGGTCACTGGGAGTTGGCATCAACTTGGTGGCCATGATGAGAAGGCATGATTGACGTATTCATAGCCATCAAGGTCGTGCTGACTCACTGCAAGCCTGTATCACATATTCTAACACTCCTGAGACTGGGTTACAACTGATGTATGAATTCACTTAATGTATCATCTTTAAAACACCTATTATAAATTCAAACATAACCTTATTAGTGTGGAATTGAGTAGTTATGAATTCAAAGTTACAACAGCAAATAAGAGACTAGCTCTAAATATTAATGAAACCTTATTGCAATTCTATTTTTCAAACAAAAGCATATTACCATAAAGTAGTTAAAGTATATACTAGAGTATAAGCTAACCTGAATATCAGCCGAGGCACCTAATTTTACCACAAAAACTGGATTAGAAATGTGCTGAAAAACTCAGTTTATACACGAGTATATATGGTAACTCAATAGCTGTAACTGGAATGTTTCACAATATTCATTTTCACATCACAGTCTACAGTACCATCCCATTTATGTGCCCAGCATACCTTGATTGCCTCCAGAACAGGTTCATATAGATCTGGGAATCCAGAATAATGATACATCATACAGTGTATCAACTCTGTTAACTGCACTAAGAAGGCTGTACTGGAAAGCAGACTTTCACTTTTGAAAGAGTGAACCAAATGAACTACATGAGGAACAATCTGAAGAGACAAAAAAAAAAGAAAACAAAAACCCAAAGATTTCTTAATTTTTACAAATTGGTAACTCTTCTAACCTAAAAATGGAGTGCAAATGTTATACAATAGCAAATAATTTCTGTATGTTTAGTCACGAACATTTCCTTATACTCCATGTAAAATATACACCAAGGTGCAAAATGGCAACCTCAGTTACTGTCTGCTGTTCTAAAAAAGTACTTTACGTGGAACATGGGCTGGAAACAAACTTTACAAAGACACACCTAGAATGAGGTGAAGAGCTCCATCGGGGGTGGATTTAAAATCTCTCACTCGGAAGAACTGTACTTGAACATACTCGGCACATTAGTCTCATTCAGAAAGCCTTGGAAATGTCACATGGCTAAAAGTGCAGCGCAGACAACCAGATTATCTTTCTGTTAGGTAAGCAGAGAGGTCTTGTGCTTTATGCTAGAGCACCTGCCTTTCCCAAACACTCCTACGCTCTACCCCAACGGTGATGGTTCTACGAATAAAAGGAGTCAGAAACACCTATTATTTTCAGGAAAATGAAGCTGGAAATAAAAGGGAACTCTAAAACATTCATTACCTAATAGAAAGCTGTTAGTAATGATAAGCAGCATAACACTGTTCTTTCATTGTAAAATTATTAGACTAAAAAATCACCAATATGGAGTTGATCATACAAGAAGGGAAGTTAAAAGAATTGCTACAAAATCATATAAACCTTTATTTAAAATATATAAAGACAAATAATATATAGATATATAAAAACGTGAAGCAATTGTTTCTCAACATGTCCTCAGATTACCTTCTATACACTTCTGAAGGAAGGCAGTTTTCTTTCTCTAAAGGTTCCCTAAAGAATTGTGTGATCTTCGATCTGTCAAAATGTTATGATTGGCAACCCTGAGATAATCATGTCTTCTTAAATCAGTGGTTCTCAACCTGTGGGTCGTGATTCCTTGGGGGGAGGGGGGGTGTCGAACGACCCTTTCACGGGGGTCGCCTGATTCATAACAGTAGCAAACTTACAGTTATGAGTAGCAACGAAAATAACTAGGAAGGTTGAGAACCACTGTTTTAAATGCTCTTTTGGGTTTGAGGAACAAAAAGAATTTCAGAGTCAAGAGCAGGGCTGTGGGGTGGGTGGGGTAAGGTTTTGAGGTTTCCCATTGAAATGGTTGTTGGACAGTCCTTGCTATCCTTGAGGAATGATCAGGTAGTACCTTGTCTTGATGGGAAACAATTCCTTGGCCCAGCTTTCTCTGCTCTTTTCTCACCAATGCAGTTTTCAGTTTTCTTAAAACTTCTTAAACCCCTATGATCACCCTAGATCCTTTTGAGGAAATTTATCACGGATAACCCCTTAGGAATCCCCTGTTTTACCCCCCGCCAAAATAGTCCTGATAGCCCTCAGAGCTGACCTCCTTGCTTTGAATTGAACCAGCCTGGAGATCCCGAGAAGCCACTGTTTTGATGGTATGGATTGTGACAGAGTTGTATACGAGCCCCCAATAAAACGATTAAAAAAAAAAAAAGATGCTGATCCATGTGAGATCCCAGCTTCAAAAGCTGTGGCACCAATTATAATTCTATGGTCTTCTTCGACCAGTTTCTGGACGTCAACCAGTTTCTTCATTCCCTGAGGTTGACAGTCTTCCATCTCTTGGCTCATATCTGAGGTCCTCTTGACCCTCCTTAAAATGCTAGGACACATAAAAATCTTTGTTGGTTTCTTTTCTTCTACCGTGGGGCTGCATTCCTACAAACTTGCTGCAAAGCTTCAGTGTTTGGAAAGCTATTCTCTTGAGCTGTGTTAAGAATCTGCTATTAGATATGGCCTCAAGCTCGTTTCTTTCCAGGGCACAGAGTATCTTTTCCGTTTTGGGGAAGCATGCAGTTAAGACTAAGACAAGTGTACCACAGAAAGAAAGACATTTTCTACAGCTATCCACAAATTGCAAAGACACGCTTAAACATGTTGTGTTTGGATTAAGTCTGTGGTGTATATATGAACTAAAACCTAGCAGCTATACTTTTTGACTTATCCTCATATATAAAAGGTATTTATGAAATGAAACATTCTATTTTACAAAAATGGCTCATTCTATTAACACTAGCTGTGCAATATTTATTGTGACTTCTTGCTAATTATAGTCTGATACTACATATTTATACTTATGGTAATAGGAAAGGCAACTGATTATGATCGATTTGTAAACTACTTTTTGGATGCTACCTTATGGTAAAAGAGCCCTGGTGGCAGAATGGGTTGTGTGTGAGGTTGCTGACTAGCTGCTCCATGGGAAAAAAGATGAGGCTTTCTACTCACATAAATTTAGAGTGACAATCCTGGAAACCCACAAGGGCAGTTCTGCCCTGTCCTTTTGGGTCACAATAAATTGAACTCAATTTGATGGCAGAGTATGAATTTAGGGCAAAAGCAAAGTTATAACTCAATGGTTACATTATCTAATAGCAATTATATGGGCAATTATTGTGAGATCTCAATCAACTTATTTCCTTCTCCCTAAGAAGAGTCTATTTCAAACTAATGCTGCTAATCCCATTCTGTTCTTTCTATATTTACCCTAATGCTTGGGATCTTACATAGCATTTATGTTTTGGCTTTTGCTCTTTCTTTAACCAAGGTGTTGACTTGACCATAGAACTCCCAGTTCCTAGTGAGTGCATTCTACTTGTCCCATCCTTACATTTCTAAGCAAATCTGAATTATATTTCTGTTCCACAAAACCAAATCTACCAGGTACTCTTTTTAGGGAAAATAATCTAAAATACAAATTACTTTTCCTCTACTGAGGTATGAGAAAGAGTTGGAGGGAAAAATAAAGATGAAATATTTTTTAAAAAATAGCTATTTACTTTACAAAGCTAAAACTTCCAAAGGCTTTCCTTGTATAGATTTTCATCTTTGTGGTCATGTTATATGATTATCTCCTACCACACTCTAACGGTCAATATCATCACTGATAAAGAAAAAAGATTAAACTCTTTAAATCATACAGATCCACTTCCAAGCAGCCTTCTTACCTTCTCAATGCCTGAAAATTGATTTTTTTAAATGAGCAAATCTAAAATGTTTCCATAGGTTATTAGTATCAGTACTAGTGATTACTAAGTATCAGTGATTTAATTTGTTAACTTTTGAAGAAGTGGCTATGATTTAATTAGAAACTTTGACCTTTATCTTTCTTTTCTGTAGGTTCAGTTTAATTTTTTTCCCTTCCAACATCTATTGAATATTCATGGTACCCCCCCCACTATCATGATCCCAATTCTACCTTACAAATCCAGCTAGACCAGAGTATGTACACTGGTACAGATCAAAGCTGGAAACACAAAGACTCCAGGACAGATAAACCCCTCAGGACCAATAATGAGAATAGAGATAGCAGGAGGGTAAGGGGGAGGTGGGGGAGAAAGGGGGAACCGATCACAATGATCTACATATAACCCCCTCCCTAGGGGACGGACAACAGAAAAGTGGGTAAAGGGAGGCATCAGACAGTGTAAGACATGACAAAATAATCATAATTTATAAATTATCAAGGGTTTGCAATGGAGGGCATGTGGGGAAAATAAATGAGGAGCTGATACCCAGGGCTCAAGTAGAAAGAAAATGTTTGGGGAATGATGATGGCAACAAATGTACAAATGTGCTTGACACAATGGATGTATGTATGGATTGTGATAAGAGTTGTAAGAGCCCCAATAAAATGATTTAAAAAAATATTCATGCTAATGATTTCAGGTTATTGCTCATACATGGCAATCTTTTTGCTGAGTTATTTGGAGTTACAAGTCATTTAACTACTAGCTGTTCTATCACTAGATGCTCAAGTTATGTTCAGTTTAGTAGGTCAGGATACTAAACTGTTTTTAATCACATGTTGTTTTTATGCTTTAAGCCAAATTACAATTTCAGTTCCAAATTTAACTGTTTATTAAATAAATGATTTCAATCTTATTTACTGAGCCAAGTATTTTCAAGTAAACCATGATACTTCAACTACTTATTTCAAGAAAAATAAAAAAGCAAAACATGGCAGAGAAATATCTTTCATTCTTTAAACAGCTGTGAGCAAAGATCCAGGTGTATAGACTAAGTGGCTTATAAGATGACGAATGGCCTCATTGTGAAGATCAATTAAAAGGAGACCAGATGGGTAAGTCACATTAGCCTATCTCCTTTCTAGACATTCTGAACGTAAAAGTCATTATTCCCAAATGGCTTCTATATGATGGTGACTGAAGCTGGGAACAAATAGTTGATGCTTTTTCAATGATTTTGCTTGATTAGTTCAAATCTGACTTTTATTCTGAAAAATTTTAATTTATTTGTGTTTTATTTTTGATGGGACTAAATGCCTAACTCAGATGAATGATGCTTTTTGTCCTTCCTTTTGCATTGTGACGTGTGCAACAGACCCCTCAAGGCCATTTCACAGGGAGTAGATCTCAATGGTGGGTAGTGCTCGAAGGAGGGGCAAGTGTGGTGAGACACTAGAAAGATGAAAATATAAGCCCGCCATAGAGAAATCCCATGATTTTAATTTTCTAAGAAATTATAAAGCTACTTGAAAAGATAAGAAAAAAAGATAAGAAAAACCTATCGTCTTTTTCACTATCAACATGACTCCTTATTAAAATACACTTTAAAAAAGGCTTTTACACTGTAGACTGTTGGTGTGGTGACTCACCATATGGAAAGCCTCCGGGGAATGCTGGAAACTGAGCAGCATGTGGGAAAGAACTACAAGAGCACCAGGTCTCACAACAGGGAACCAGAGTCGATTGAACACCTTCAAGAGGAGACAAGACACTCATTTTAGAATGTACTCAGCAATCAGGAACCCAGTCAGTGGTTCTCTTCCTAGGAAAATTATTTATGTGACTGTCCCCACTTACGGTAAAGTTTTCTTCTAGCGTGCTACTACACTTTGGAGGATGGAGAGTTAGGCAGCGACCACGAGGAATCTAATAGTCTAGCCAACCTTTAAAAGTTGCTTATCAACTGAAAACCTGTCCAACCATGCCTCTAATGTGTTCACTTTTCACTGAACTGACTCATCAATACTTACTGAACATCTACAGTGGCTGGACACTCCTGTAGGTCCTGGGACAACAGCAGTGGGCTAAACCAGGGGTCCTCAAACTGCGGCCCGCAGAGGACGTTTATCCCGGCCCGCCGGGTGTGATTGCCCCGTTTTCTTACTTCAAAATAAGACATGTGCAGTGTGCATAGGAATTTGTTCATAGTTTCTTTTTTAAACTATAGTCCGGCCCTCCAACGGGTCTGAGGGACAGTGAACTGGCCCCCTGTTTAAAAAGTTTGAGGACCCCTGGGCTAAACACTTACAAATCTCTACTCTCACAAGAACTATCTTGTAGAGGGTGAGTAAAGACAATAAAAATCTGTACATAAGTACAAAGCAGGATCTGATACACAGGGCCTGCTAGGTGGGTAGAGTCTGTTTGAAATAGCTGTGCAATCAGAGAAGGTGCTCTGGGCCACATCATCCAGGTTCTTGAGTGCTACTTGTCGGGGACCAACAAGGCAGAAGCAGAAAACCTATTTTGGGATCAGTGAAGTTAAGATATAACGATAACTCTGGATGAGGAGAATCGTCTTGCAGTGGTGAAATCTTGGACATATTCTTAACAACTGAGTCAACAGGAAGTATTGACTATGAACTGAACACGAATGAAAAGTGGCAGGGATGTCTCTGAAGGTTTTGGTTTGAGCAAGTGGAAATGATGTTATTAGTCATTTATTAAGATGGGGAAGACCAAGTCAGGGATGAAATTAAATCAGGGATTACATTTTAGATACACTGAATATGTGATTCAAGCTGTGTAAACCTCGAGTACAGGCAGTTGAGGAACTCTGGGGGCACGGTGATGAAGTGCTTGCTGATATGTTCCGTTGAGCAATTTGAGCCCACCAGCTGTTCTGCAGAACGATGTGGCAGTCTGCTTCCATAGGGATTTATAACTTTCGAAAACCTATTGGGCAATTCTACTCTGTGCTCCAGGGTTGCTATGAGTCAGCGTTAATTTCATGACTTCCATTTTTGTTTTTGTTTTGAAAGGCAGTTAGAAATGTGAGTCTGGAGTTCAAGGAAAAATAATGGATTACAAATATAAATCTGATGATTAAAAAAAAAATAGGTCGCAGGGAGGAGACGAACCAGTCAGAGTGCAGTGTAGCAATGATGAAACATAAAACTTTCCTCTAGTTCCTAAA